GAATATTCTCAAGTCACACGTATGAGATCAGGGGTGGCGGAGCGTCTTCCGAAGTGTGTGTGGGGGAGGGGGGAGCAGCAACATAGGACCTTTTCCGGAAAGAAAAAAGGGCACCTTCAAAGGGAAACCTCAAGGCTAAAAAAATAACAATTTTTAGACATTGGTATTAACCCCTACATTATGATTACATTATCAAGGATGGTTTTAATGTTAGTTTCTCTCTTTCCAGGTCCAAGATACTGCTTTTGCATCATAATTTGCAGCTGGGTGTGATGGTCTAAATATATTTATTTGAAAGTGAGCGAGCAATTTTGTTTTACTTCGTCAGGTCGCAGTGCGAAAAAAATGACATCTTATAAAGATGAAAGAATACTCCTGATAGGTTTTAAGCAAAATCTAATCATGATGGACTGAAAAGATCTCTAATAAGAAACATATTTATATCAACTTTAAGTGCTAGTGAGCAAAATGAGCGAGCTTTTGAAATTAAATTAAGAGCACATTTTATGGTGAAAGGAAACAGAAGCACATGTACAAAGGGAAAATAACACTTGTCAAATTAAAAGGGGAATTATCAGAGGTCAAAATGGGGCACTTCTCGCCTCTGAAGAACACTCACCAGAGATTTTTTTTAAAGAACATAGGAGAAGGGGGAGGGCACTAATTACAAAATATTAGGGCACTTGTTAGAGTAAAGATTTAAATAGGGGCAATTATCATAGGTAAAGGGGGCACTTATGAGAGGTGGTAAGGTAGTGTCGTGGTCGAGTGGTTTAAGACGCTTGACTGTAGATGCGAAGGTCGAGGGTTCGAATCCCGACACGGCACTAATATCCCTTGGCAAGATATGTACCTGCACTTGCTACTCTCCACCCAGGTGTTAAATGGGTACCCGGTAGGATGCGAACGTTCATGTGGTTGGACGAGCAAATGTGCGCTCGTAAAATGGCGACTAGCTGAAATGCTCCCCAGGGAGTGGAAAATGTGCACACATTGTGTGCGGCTAAGCCTGAATCCGATGACCGGGGTAATAATATATTTGTAAAGCGCTTAGGCACATCGTTGGAACGGTGTATTGAGCGCTATATAAAAAACGGATTATTATTATTATCATTATACTCTTATTACAGAGATAATGAGGCACCTTCAAATTTGAATAAGGGCACTCTTTATTAAACTAATATTTGATTAAAGTTGTGGCAATGGTAAAGGACGTAACAAGAAGGTACAAAGTAAAACAAGCTCAGAGTATGATTTGGGGCTTCGATAAAATACTTGCTTAGGGTAAATTTTAAAAATCTATGTATGGGCATGATGTACATATTGTAGCACAAACGTGATCTGATGCACAATTCAAAGTGTGTCACAGTGGAGCAAGGAATCTCACGATAAATACAATGTTCAACCATTATCAGCTACCGGAAATGAGGGGAACAAAATCAACCACTTGTTTGTGTCCCCGTGAAGTGATCCAACTTGTTTTATTCTCGGTATTGTGGTAGACAAAGGATTTATAAGCAGCTAAGCATCATGCAGTTGCAGCATGTTAAAAAGTCTTTCAATATCAATTGCTTGTTTGTTGTCAATGCGACCTATTGACATTTCCTCTAGCACTTTCTACAAACTTTGATTAACATATTTAATGATTTTTTTTAAGAGGAATGAAGCTGATGCAGATCTTGGTCTCATGTTATTTGGTGTTATATTCATGTGTACGTGTAGCTCAAAGTCACACACTAGCACTAGCATTCGACAACTGCATCCATATTTAAATAGTTTTATTCCAAAAGGAGATAAATCAACTTTGGGTACTTCTGAGTAAATCACCTTTGTTATTACTCCACTTTCCCTTTAGCCATGTACATTCATGTTGTTATATATGTTAATGGAGTCACCCTGGACCAAATATATGATAAGAAAACATTTACCAGTTAATTCTGATTTTTTTTTTTTTTTTTTTTTTTTTTTTTTTTTTTAATCCAGTGGATTTAGCTCCTTTTGGAATGAAACATGGATTTAGCTCCTTTGGGAATGAAACGGTTTTAGCTCCTTTTGTAATAAAAACTATCATTTGTTGTCTACTTTTTTTAAACGTTTTTTAATGGTGATTTCACTATTATTTAAAAGGAAAGGTTTGCTACTATAAAATTTGAACAAGTTTCAGTGACTTTATTGAAGAAAGGGAAAATATTTTATACACACATTATCCTACACGCAACCTGTTAACTTTTGAGAATATTCTCTCTCACCATTTTTTCAGCACAAAGACCATTTCGTGAAGTCCTTAAAGAAAGGAAACAATAAATATACAAAAATATTATTATTGAAACTTTTCATTTGAGAACTAATAATCATCATTACTCAAAGAGTAAAAAGCACTATCAAAGTGTAAACAAAATCAAAACTGCTTTGAGAGTGGATATACAGTGACCTCTTTTCTCTTGTTCTAAACTGTATAAATTCATTTCAGTTGCACCAGGCAAGTATTTAAAAAAAAAAATACATGACGTTTCCTATACAATCAATTTTGCAACCTTATTTTAGATTGTAACTATGAGATTGAAACCTTCAAGTTCAAACCTGCAATTCAAAATCATGTCATACTTCATGTCACATTACACGGAAATGTGTCATGTAGTCATGAATCTAATTACAGGAGTGGTTAAACTGGTTCTGTTAAACTTAAATTAAAACCCGGGATTAAAACAACACTTAAGTACAGCACGTAGATAACAACAAATTATTTCAATCTGGACAGCAAAAATCAGATTTACACCAAAATTGTTTAGTTTTCAGGTTTTGGGTTTCACTCTTAATTTTCTTCAATTTTCTGGAAAATACAAGTGTAGCCAGAATTAATTACAAATTCAACATTACCCTTTTAGTGAGGGTTCTGCCTAATCTTAAAATAGTTCATGAATTGCTAAATCATCAAATTTATAAATTAAACATGAATTTTTAATGCGTTACAATGGCAACGAATAATAAAATAGGCTTTCAATCATTTTGTTTTGGTAATTTTATTTGTATTTGTTAAGCTAGACATTCAGTATTGAAAAATATGTATAGTACAAAGGACATGATAATTTTAGAAATACAACAAAAGAAGATAATTACAAGACATATGACTCTTATTACTATAGCAACATTAGTAGGTTATGATGAATAGACAACAGCATTTTTTAACAACTACATGCATAATAAATCTGCTCATATTGTCATCAGTATACAACAGTATTTGAAAGTGTATAAATGTTGGATGCATTCAATCAAGGCATGTAATTTTCTTGACTTAAATCCATCATACAAAGTTTTAAATAAATAGCAATTAATTCTCTCAGTATTCGATTTCGAAGTAAATAAATTAAAATGCATAAAATCAACTGATTGGAAATCTGTTTATATACTCTATATCTCAAAGTTAATACACGTTCTTCCATTGACTGTCGAATAGTTTATAAATTCATATTCATTAGGCCTTAATTAATTGTACTTATTCATTTGTGAACTATTGAAATACTTGTAAACTGTTAATTGTGATATCAGATTCAAAGAGCAATCAATAATCTGATCATATTTTCATCATAAAAATGTACTTATACAATAGTATTTGTTTGAAAACTAAAAGGTATAATTTTTATTCTAAGTTTAAGATGAATTCAATCAATTTTCTTCAATTTGATCTATTATCATATTATAAATGTATACATACATAACAATTACTTCGTACAGTGTTAGTTTTAAATAAACAAATTGAAATGCATGAAATCAACTAATTTGAAACCTATTTACATACGCTATCTTAAAGTTAATACATTTTCTTTCATTGACATTGATTCTGGAATCGGCGTTTGCAAATTCATATGTAATAGGCCTTAATTAATTGTACTAATTCATTTGTGAACAAGACTTTCTCTTCAGAGACTAAGACCTTCCTCTATGTCTAAAAGGACCGTTTTAATCATTGTATCATCCCGTCCTGTCATATAGGACCGTTTTAATCATTGTATCATCCCTGTCCTGTAAAAAAAAAACGTTTTAATCATTGCTTCATCCCCGTCCTGTCATATAGCACATAAACGAACTGACAGGGTGTGGTTACGCTGCTGAGCGGTCGCCTTATGAAAATCATTTTTCAAGATGATTCGAGAAAATGATAAGACAGCACATCTTTAAAAGCTTACCTAAGCCTAATTAGGTTTTTATGTTTTGTGTGGTTCAAGATGTAGTGAAAAACAAAATAGTTTTTTGGGGCCTCTCTGGTCGATAAAAGTTTCAAGTACAATATGGAAAACAGAGAACACACGCAAAAATGAAAATATGTCTACAAGTATACCAGAATTATACAAAGTTAATCAATATAAATAGATTGGGGAAACTGCAAATAAAATCTGTCTAGGCGGTCCCTGTTATTAAAACAATTATCTATAAAATATATAACAATGTTTAAAAAACAGTGTACAAAACATAGTAGAAGTTAACATTTAAAAGATTTGAAGAAAGTAAAATGCTGGATATCTCTGGGAGAGAATTCCAAATGGTTGGGCCAGTGTGTCCGAAAGTTCGTGAAAAGAGCCACGATAAATTGCTCTACAACACAAATCTGCCACAAACTTTATAAATATGTAAGAGGAAGAGATGACACAGTACTCGCTTTTTTTTTCAAAAACAGAAATTCATTGTTTGCCTTGAAAATGTACTCATAAAAAATATGGGGTAAACGTTAGATTTTCTAATCTTTAGCAAGTGTCTCATTTGAATGAAATAACTCTTCCGACCATGATTTACGTCCTCAAACAAAAATATAATGATCTGCTAGTGTCTCAAATAGGCATCCACATGTGCTCATCTGACCGTAATTAAATGCCTAAAACTCCCGAGCTTTGCCCCTGGACCCCATGCAAATTTACTCTTCGCTCGATTCTCTCTACCTGATCGCAAAAACTTAGCCCCCCCCCCCCCCCACCTCACTTTGAAAAACGTTCCGTGGGGCCTGTCATACAGTGCAAGTAAGGGGGAGTCATCAATTTGTTTCAGTGAAATATATAGAGTCTATCAGGAGTGCAGAGAGCGATCTCTCCTGATCGATACTGCTGGAGATAGTACCACCCTCTCTCGGGCTTCTCAATATCGTAATCAATGACGATGCTCTGGACATGCTTCAGCTCGTTAGTGTACTCGTCAATGCTAACCAAAGCTGCATCGTGTTTCACGGTGGCTATCAAGATTGTATTCCCTTGAGACACCGCATGAGATAGATTATCACCTAATTTTGCTAATTCATATTTTACAACACCTTGTTTGTCAATCAATCGTATTGTATCCCACGATGCGGTGATCAGGTGATCGTTATTACTAGTAATCTGCCCAGGTATAAACCCATCATATGGTATCTCCCTGATTGCCTTCCCACCTGCTGGGGAGAATACCTGGATCTTTTGAACTTTCCAGTTACTGTACCTAACATAGATCTGATCATTACTGTCTACAGTGAGATCAGCAAATTCACATTCATCATGACTCAGAGTCTTGAACTTTACATTCAACTTTGTGTACTCTAGTGTGTACAGTGTGATATTGTTAAAGTCATCAAGTATAACATACCGATCATTAGAGAGGAACCCTACTCCACGAATCTTCACACGTTTGAGAAATGTCTGCTGGAGCTCGCCATCAGCAGAGAAGATCTCCACGCCACCTGTACTACATCCCACTGCCATCCTACCGTCTGGTGTACTAACCATGGTACTCATGCTATTCTTAGTAGGCAAAGCGATGTTCTTTACAACTCCATTTACGATCGTACCGAGAGCTATCTCATCCATTCCAACGTTCCTCTTAAAACTGACACTTTTCCCTTTCTTGCTCGATTGCATCGGCTGCTTGTAGTCAGGATCTTCTTGTTTCAAGGCCTCCTGTAAGTCTTGACATAAAGTGTCGTGTGCAGCCAAAGCATCCATATCTGACGGCACCTTTGTCTTATTGGTTACCACGTCAGCTATGATGGTCAAGTGAGTAATGTGCTCCTCAGCCGATTTCTTCATTTCGTTCAGTTCTTTCTGTACTCCTTCGGTCCTACCCTTGACTTCACCAATGAGGATTTCTTTCTTCTTTGTCAACTGCCGAACTGATTCTTCAAATGCTTTGTTGATATCATCTGTACACTGCTTCTGGACTTTGCTCACATGCTCCTTCTGTTCATCAATGAAGTCAACGTATTTCTGAAAGCAAGAGCGTTTATTGTCCGCCTTGGATTTGAGGTCCTCGATACTCTTCATATGGCTGCTTTCATAAACAGCTGCCTCGATGACCTGATGTCCTTCTTTTGTATGCTCCATGACAACACATCTGAAGCAGGCAAATCTCCTGCATTCGGAACAGAAGCACTCCTCATCCTCTTTGGGATGTTTCTTGCATTTGCGATACCTACGCACTGACACCTTCCCTGATTCGATCTCACTCATGGCTAGAACCTCATGACTTATGAAATCTTGCCACAGAGAATGAGCGTTGTGGCAAGTGATACAGAGATACTTGCCACAGTCTTGACAGTAGACAACAGCTTGGGGTTTGTCGTCTGATTTGCAATTCATGCAAAACTTATGCTGATTATTCATGTCTTCTATGAGAGACTTCAAAGCTAGACTTGCCGGTAATTTGCTGACTTCTTGGTTTGGGATCTGTGTTTCAGCTCTGCAGACAGGGCATCGGAGCATCTGGTCGCTACCATGGCATTCCAAGAGGTTGTCCAGACAGGCCTTGCAGTAGGTGTGAGAACAAGACAGGATCTTGGGATCGGTGAAGGTATCCAGACATACAGGACACTCCAGACTATGAGCAATAACATTCTTTAATGCTTCAGCCATGATTCGAATTCTACCGGAATACAAGCAAGACAAAAAAGAGGAAGAAACATGATCATTAGCTAGTGTAGCTTTGATTCATCTGATCGCATTAAAAAGGAGTGTTTAATATAATTGTCCTCACTCCTTTTCCCTATAGAATAACGCACACGAAAAATACATTCCTTATTCTAACATGGAGTCTAGGCTTTGGAGAACTCTAAAACCTAGTAGGCAACATTTTGTATTAATTTAGAAGCTGCTGAAGAATCAAAGGCAGTACTTTAAACATGTATGTCTACTATGCACATGCACGGGAATATATTATTTTTTTTTAAATATCATGATTGTACAGAGGAAACTATATTGCTCTGGTTTGGCAGAATCTTTAGCTGAAATGTTAGCTATATTAATAATCACATAATAACCTGAGACATGTCCCATATGTATTCATATATACATAACATGCAATAATAATGTTGTTATTCTAACGTGACCACAACAACATACCAACATGGATGATTTTTGCCCAGGACAACAAACATTGAGAAGTTATACTTTTGAACGATAGTAAAGGTAATACAAAGTTTTGGGAAATTTGAAAATTGGGTAAATAGTGAATCTTTACAATGTTGATATATTTGGATGACCCTGTGGATCTTTTATAAGCACTAAAAATATTAGCCCCTAAAACACTTCTGTTTTCGAGAAAAATTGAATATAACAATTTACCGGTGCTCCCGGTAAATTTTGATAAATTTTAAATAGCGCCTATGGCCGTACAATGGTAGCTACGACCATGAAAATCTCAGAATATGTAGTTGTGATATATAATTTCCAAACAGGAATAGGTAATCGGTCGATTTTAGTCAATAAACATTTTTTCATAGCTAATTAATATCTTGAGAGGGAGCTATACAACATAAAGAGTTTATTATTTATAATTTCATAACTTTAGACTCGATTTCAACCGCGACAACGATCAATGAATATTATAGGAACGCATATGCTTCCAATATGTTAATCTAAACCAAATTCATGACCCGATACCAAAACTTTGTAATACCTTTAATGTGATCACGAGTTTTCCAATGCGACAAACATTACTTTCGGGTTCACGATCAACAGAATAAACTCTAGATCTTATGGTCTGGTTTCAAAGCTCTGTTTCGTTTAGTTTCATTTTTGCAGCCTGTTTCTTCGTGGTTTACCAAGCTGAAATCATTTCCTAAACACCCGTCATTCCCTTCTTGGTCTTATAGCTCTCTCCATAAATCACCCCAAAGACATGTAAACCAATATCTAAGTATTTCAGTCTAAGGACAAAGATGACTTTAAATCCAGATACAAACAAAGTCTCAGAAGGGTCTGGGAGTTGGCCTTAGATAGCGACATGTTTATACGTCAATGTAAAACGGAAATATTGCAAAATACCACTGCATTTCTTTACACGTTGGAAATGATAAACATTTAAAATTTACTCACGTCTTTTTTTGTCACTATGTATCGGTCTAGGTGTTATATGAAATCAGTAAACATGTATACTCGTTGCCTTAACGATGTAGCGGTGCACTGATCATAAGTGGTCGTGTATACAAGTCGTGTATGTATTTCATTTGTCGATCTATTTTTGGTACTGGGAATTCCCAGCAACCTTTGACATACAGTTGGAATGTCGAAGATGGCGCTATACAATCATGCAAACCAGTGCCATTGATTAGGTATTGATTAATAGATGGCGTTGATGCAAAACACATCCGGTCGCGAAGGAGAAAATAAATGAAGATATTCGATCTTAGACCTTTACCTTCACTGGACTAACCATCGTCTTGTTGAGAAAGCTAAGAAGTTGTTTGGTTTATCATAGTTTCGGGTTGTGTAGGAGCTATTATGCCCTAATGTCTTAGGCATACAAGACATAGGGCGGAGGAGGCTGTGCCTCCCTCCCTCCCCTCGAATTTTGAAATTGTAAATAACATAGGCCAGGGATGGCAGTTTTCAGGCAATAGCCTGATTTCTGGCCCTGGCAAGTTATTTTCAGACCTATAGTTTAGGCGTTTTTTGTGTACAAAAAAGCTCATTCTAGGTGATTTTCAGGCCCTCTGATCAAATCTAACTGGCATCCCTGACATAGACTATTCGGACACTTATAACCGCATCCTGATTATTACAGATGCTTAATATTAAAAACAAGCTAACTATTCTTTTAATATAATCTCTATATCTTTTTTTTTTTTAATTAGTTTTCATTTCACCAAAATAGTGTGAAAAAATGTACATACATAATAATAAAAGCATGTTAAGGTTTAATGTAGCCCCAATGGATAAAAGGGGCTTTAAAGTCTTATGGTCCGGTTTCAATTTTTTTTTTTTTTTTTTTTTTTTTTTCTTCATTGTTTAACAAACTAGCTGATATCATTTTTTAAACACCCGTCATTTTCTTCTTGGTCTTAGCTCAATCGCTCCCCATTTATTACCTCAAAGACATCTAGTGTGTGTGTAATTGGGTTTTTACAGACGTGTAAGATTGATTGTAAGATTTTATTGACTCTATCGACCCCCTCTCGGGTATGAGAGTACAAACATATTTACAACATAGTATCAATATAACAATAGTATAACAATGATAAACATGTGATAACATGAAAATTGATAAACATAATAAGATAATATAAACAAAGACAAACGTGTGATAATATAAACAATAATAAACATGTGATAATATGAACAATAATAAACATGTGATAATATGAACAAAGATAAACATGTGATAATATGAACAAATAAACATATTTACAAATCAAGGCGAACTGGGCAATTCACCTTCCTACCGCTACGAGTGTGCCTAACAACATTGCTTATTTGTGAGCTATCATTTACAGTAGTACCATCTACCCTTGAATCTTTTGAAAAATATGACATAATGATTCTAACAAATTTGGCTAATTTCTTTAGCTGGCAAGCGTGAGCTGTATTAAAAACCTTATCCATGTGCAACGCACTTGGTCTTAAGCTACTACCGCACAAGTTATTTGGTATATACATTTATCAATCAGATATGATTATTTACGTCTGGGGACCGACTTTTAACGTCACCATCCGAAAGACGTGACTCAGTTTCGAACCTGCGTTCTCGGCTGAATCAGTTTGTAACTTCAGGCGCGGATCCAGGGGGGGGGGCCGAGCGGGCCTTGCCCCCCCCCCCCCCCCGCAAAAAAAAAAAAAAAAAAAAAAAAAAAGAGAGAGAAAAGGAAAAGAAGCGAAAGGAGAAAGGGAAAGAAAGAAGAGGAAGAAGAAAAGAAAAGGGGGAAGAAGGAGATCGGGGGCCGAAAGGGCTTTGCCTCCCAGGCTGTTGACCCCCCCCCCCCCCCCCCCCCCCCATAAAACAAACAAGAGAGAAGGAAGGAAAGGGAAAGGAAAAGAGGAGATACTGGCGTACTGATAGGGAGGGGGAGGGGTTAGTGGAAATCAAATTCAAACGTGGTTTATTTCTAATTCCACAACGGTGGATTACAAATAATGCTGAAATGACATCATTTCCGAGATTTTTCCGAGATTTTTAGTAAATTATACGTTTGTATGTGTTTGTTCAAAAATGACAAATTCCTAAATTTGCAGCCAGGCAAGAAATGTCATTCTTGAGATTCCTCCATGTCAGGGCCCGAGGTACGGTGGGGATCGGGAGCCTCGAGCTCTCCCCCCCCCCCCACACTTTTTTTTGAAAAAGTATATTAAAGAGAAATAAAATAGAATGAGAGCAAGAAAGAAAGAATAGTTAACTGCCAGTGTTAACAAATAATGAGGCATCAAAATATGCTCATCTGACCGTGATTAAATGCCTAAAACCTCTAAGCTTCCGTGGGCTCTGCCCCCTGGATCCCACCAAGGGCCCTACGGCGGGCCCTTAGATGCTCATCTGACGGTAATTTAATGCCTAAAACCCCTGATTTTGGGGGGGCTCCGCCCCCTGGACCCAACGCCAAATAGTTACCTGCCAGTGTCACGAAATAATAAGGTATACTAAAAAAAATATGCTCATATGACCTTAATTAAACGCCTAAAACCTTTATGCTTCCGGGCCGGCTTCGCCGCCGCCCCAGACAAGGATTAACAATCGAGAACGGTACAGCGAATCGTCTTTTTTCTCTCATAATCTTATGAAACGTGAAGCTTCCGCGCTTTGCGCGGGAAGTGGGGAACCTTAATTCAGACAAGGATTCAGAGGCGAGAACGGTAATACCAATCTTTTATGATTTAATAAAACGTAAAAGCTTCCGCGCTTCGCGCGGGATGGAGGGGAGGGGGGAACTTAATTCCGACGAGGATTATTTTCGAGAGCGGTAAAACGAATCGTCTTCTTTCTCTAATGATTTAATGAAACGTAAAAGCTTCCGAGCTTCGCGCGGAGGGGGGATGGAACTGAATTCAGACGAGGATTAAGATTCGAGAACGGTACAACGAATCGCCTTCTTTCTTTTATAGTTTAATGAAACGTCAAAGCTTTCGCGCTTCGCGCAGGAGGGGGAGAGAGGGGGAACTGAATCTAGACAAGGATTAAGAGTCGAGAATTGTACAACGAATCGTCTCCTTTCTCTAATGATTTAATGAATCGTAAAAGCTTCTACGCTTCGCGCGGAAGGGGTAAACTAAATTCAGACGAGGATTAAGAGTCGAGAACTGTACAACGAATCGTTTTGTTTCTCTAATGATTTAATGAAACGTAAAAGCTTCCGCGCTTCGCGCGGGAGTGGGGGAGAATCTAAATTCAGACGAGGATTATTTTCGAAAACGGTACAACGAATCGTCTTTTTTCTCTAATGATTTAAGGAAACTTAAAAGGGGGGAACCTGAATTCAGACGAGAATTTAGAGTCGAGAACTCTACAACGAATCGTCTTCTTTCTCTAATAATTTAATAAATCCAAAAATTTTCCGCGCGTCGCGCGAGAGGGGAAAAACTAAATTCAGACGAGAATTATTTTCGAGAACTGTACAATGAATCGTTTTGTTTCTCTAATGATTTAATGAAACGTAAAAGCTTCCGCGCTTCGCGCGGGAGGGGGGGGGGAGAATCTAAATTCAGACGAGGATTATTTTCGAAAACGGTACAACGAATCGGTTTGTTTCTCTAATAATTTAAGGAAACTTAAAAGCTTCCGCGCTTCGCGCGATAGGGGGGAACCTGAATTCAGACGAGAATTTAGAGTTGAGAACTCTACAACGAATCGTTTTCTTTCTCGAATAATTTCATGAATCCTAAAATTTTTCGCGCTTCGCGCGAAAGGGGAAAAACAAAATTCAGACGAGAATTATTTTCGAGAACTGTACAACGAATCGTTTTGTTTCTCTAATGATTTAATGAAACGTCAAAGCTTCCGCGTTTCGCGGAGGAGGGAGGGAGAAATTCGCCCCTCCCTGCACCGACCCCCCCCCCCCTCCGCATCACGTCACTGTTGGTCACCATTACGTACCAATATTTGGCTCGCATAATTTCAAATTTGGGCCCCCCCCCCCCTAAGAAATCCTGGATCCGCGCCTGTGTAACTTCCACTTTTTAGCTGGATTACAGGCGCACGCCACGACCCAGACCCAACTATTTCAGTCTAAGAAAAATGATTATTTTATGAACCAAATCCAAGCATCAGCCATAGACGAAAGACTTCATGCATGGCTTGTTGTCAACGAAACGGAGTTAAGTCTTTTGTCAATTCCGTTTGTTGCTACGGCAGGCAGCCAGTGAAAACGAATTCGTTTTCTAAAGTTATGGAAATGCAAGCAATACTTTAAACAAACAGAACTTTGTTATTCCTTGCTCATTTTTCCTGATTGAGGTGTCATATGAAAGGGCAGAAACTGAACTTTTTAGAAATGTGATTTTGTCTTAAAAATTCGGATATCGTCCGCCAAATGTCTTTTTGGTTTACTCTCTTCAAGCTTTACAAAGATGTGTCATTTATTAATTATAATTGTGAGTTAGTTATGATGAAACATCGATGACTCTTGGTGTCGTTTTTTTCTGGGACGCACTGTATAAGACAATATAAAACAAACATTTTGAAAAATGTCAGTGGATTTATTTTTGAAACGACAAGGACATTTATAATAAATTCACCCTTTTTCCATCATTACATATCAGTCTATAGGAGTTCATCAAATTCGATTCAATTCAATTCAATTTTATTTCTTATTCCAACAAAACATGACAATTCAATTATAATCATTTACAAAAATTAAGGAATACATATTGGAAGCAGAGGAAATAAATCAGAAAATCCTTGTTTTCACGAAGTGACGGTAGTGAGGAAAATCGTAACGCAAAGTGAATGCAATTTTTTTTCACTACCGTCACTTCGTGAAAACAGCGACGAATGTGTACTCTTTGCTTTTACAATGTCTATTTTTAATGACTGGGAATTCCCACCAACCTTTGACACGGACAAGCAGATTGAGATTGCCCTCATTTTCAGTTTGTATGGAGCAAATGACATGCTCTGCCCCCCCCCCTTCCCCAATCACACACCCACACACATAGACACACACAATACACAATCTTCTAAATTACGTTAATGCTGAGCTGAGATTCGAAACATGAACTCTTGGATAGAGAGTCAGAGTGAATGAACCCCTCTAGTATACCTCCACTATTTAGAAGATTCCGTAACTACGTATCGGCTTACGCGTTACATGATATCAGCAACCATTCAAAGACTCTTTGCCTTTATGATGTAGTAGTGCACTAATCATAATTAGTACCATATATATATATATATTTATGTATTTAGTTCCCATGAACCTTTGACAGACAAGCAGATTGAGGTTTTAATCGTCCTAAAAGTGACCCCATAATAAAAACTCGATTTTGTCAAGCGCCTGTAGAGCAAATAATATATGCCCGTGTCAAACTGGAATTCTATTTCTGTTACCCCCCCCCCCCCCCCCGAATTACAAAAACATTCTCAAGTTTAATAGCTCGGGGAGCTACATTAAGAGATCGTTTGTGTGACGTATATTAATTGTTAAATACAAAACGATACGTTGCAGGGGGTCGTCCCCCCCCCCCCGAAAATTTGAAAGGTGCACACACAAAAATGTATAACAAATACTGACTAAAGACTGCACCACACGTTTAGGCTCTATGGAGGGCCCAAGAGTGCAGCGTTAAGACTAATAAAATGCAAGAATCTTCTCGCTCGGTCGCTGCGCCCTCTCGCATAGTATCCTCCGAAATGTACAAGTAAATATTGTAGAAAAATCTGTGTTCCGTTGGTATCACGTAAGCACAGTTTACACTGTCTTTTTACAAGATAAAGAGTTAAAGAAAAAGATCAGTGCTACAAGAAAGATATATTCCGCTTGCTCTTTTAATAGAAGTCCCTTCATGCCTACTTCAAGCTGAAATTGACCTAATAAAATTAATATTGACAACCCTTCGGACTGCGCACTAAATACCGGCAAAGTAAAAGTGAAGTGTGCACAAAGTATAATTGCTTGTTTTTATTCCATTGTTTTTTTCTAAAGAATGTAATTTTTTAATACAACAAAACTTCAAAACCAGTGAGGGGGTAGCATAGACCTATGCAATAAGACTTATTATATAGCTCTATGGAGGTTATTCACTTCCGTTACATTCGTGCCTCCCACTGGCGTACTGAGGGGGGGGGGGGGAGGGGCTTGAGGTGAATAGCCCCAAAATAAAGTTCAAACGTGGTTTATTTCTAATTTGAAACCAGTGATTTACACATTTTGCTGAAATGGCATGATTTTTCCCTGAGATCCCGGGGGTGGGCCCCTGGTTGCTCATCTGGCCTTATTGAATGCCTAAAACCTTTCAGCTTCTACGGGCTCCGTCCCCTGGACCTCACTCCACTCAGTGACCTGCCAGTGTCACAAATAAGGTATCAAAATATGCTCATCTGACCGTAATAAAATGCCTAAAACCGCTGAGCTTCCGGGTGCGGGCCCTAAGGCGGCCCCTATATGCTCATCTGACCGTAAATACATGCCTGAAACCCCTGAGCTTCATGGGGCTTCACCCCTTGACTCCCGCCGGGGCTTTGCCCCTGGACCCCACGCCAATTTACACTCCACTTGCTTCGCTCGCTTTACTCTGCCTGATCGTAAATACTTACGCCCCCCACTTTGAAAAATGTTCAGCGAGGCCTGCATGTAGAGTGGTGGCGATGCGGATTTTTCTTTCTCCTCCCCCAACGTTTTTGTTAATTAATACGCCACTGGCTCTTATCATTCACTATGCTCCCTCGTCCCTCGCATTTCGCCCACCCCCCCCCCCCCCCCGGTCATGAAAAGAAATCGCCGCCCCTGATACATAGTGCGCTCTTACCTAACTCTCGTGTTTTCAGTTCATTCAATTTCAATTCAATTCAAATTTATTGGTCCAAAAATAAATTCATTGCTCTTACATGCATTATTCACAGAGAAAAATAACTAAACTATACATGTGACATGTACATATAACATAAAACGAGTATATAGAGAGAATATAGCCATATAGCACTTTAACATTCACATTATATAGATATTTTCTATGAATTTACATTCAATGTTTGTTCATTTATCGAGAGTAATTACAAACACAATGTAACATTATAATTATTATTATTATTATTTTCAATATTAATATCATTAGTATTTTTATTATGATTGTTATTGTTATTAATATTATTAGTTTGGCTCATTATATAACTATAATAAAAAAAATTGTTATCGGGCAAACAATAAACCATACAAAGTTTAACAATTAAAAAAAATTATCATAATTATTTTCTTTATGGTGGAAAAATAACCATGTATCCTGGACAGTTTAAGTTACAAAAAATGTTCATATCTTCTGGGGAATGCAATAGCCTATTATAATATAGATCCACAACAATAAATTTCTCTATAAATGAAAGCTAAATATGAGTGCAGTATGTATGAAATATTAATACCTATTGACGGCAGTATGAAATAATCATTAATAAACATGATGCAATATATGATAACATGTGAGTATTTAATACAAGAGATGCTTTTTCATTTCATTTGAGAAAAGATGGCTTTTATAGGAAATCAAATATAATTGTCGTATAGTAAATACAAATAATTTGTTGATAATTTCTTACAATCAAATTGAAAATAATACAATACGAATCATATATTTCACATTTTACATTTCATTCAACAGACGGATAGATCGAGCACGGAACATAAGAGTTCAGGTACCTCAAGGTGCCGGAGTTATTCGACTGCCACCTTTTACCACTTCTTAGCCTGACATAATTTTCATTTAGGGGGTGACTTGAATCCCTTAAATTCCTTTAGGTACATATATCAATGATGGTATTAGTCCACAGGCAAATATTGAGGCTCCCAACCAAGTGCGAGACCACATTCACCTAAAAGCGCGATTTAGCGAACCTAATTCAGCAAAAAAAAACCTTAAAATTAGCGAATGTGAGAAGCAAAAACACGGAGGCATCATTGTCAAGCATGTCGGCAAAGCATTTAAAATCGGCAGTTTGTTGATTCATAAAATTATTTCCGTAAAAGTGATCGTAAAAGCCTAATTTGTTCAGAAAAAAACACAATTTTATCCAGAATCTGGCTGAAATTAACTCTCCACTTAGTTATACAGGTGCGCAAAAGACGAACGTCAAAATGTTGGTTTGGATTTGGATTTTTCCTTCCTCAATCTGCGCATGAAATATATGCAAATTATAGCGAACAAAATTAGTCTCATGCACATCGTTTATTAGTGTAACAGATGGGTCGTTATTGCTACATTATATGAACAGATCGGATAGATGTGAAAATCATTTATATTATAATCAGTATACGATGCGAAAATTATTCTTCTACAGCTTCCGGAAACCGACCTGGATTTTTGCTTGCGTCCCTTTCTTTTGCCAAATTTGTGCGTGAGATTTTGTTTTTGGTGATTCCGGGCGCAAAAACGAAACTTAGCGCGACCTGTGTCTATAATATATTGCTCTACAAAACAAATCTCTCACAAACTTTAGAAATATGAGAGAGGAAGAAAAAACTACGGTACTCGCTTTCATTATATTTTAAACCGAAATGTATTTTTCACCTACAAAACGCTCTACCTGATCGTAAACGTTCCACGGGCATGTCATACAGTGCAAGTAAGAGAGAGTCATCCATTTGTTTCAGTGGAATATATAGAGTCTATCAGGAGTGCAGAAAGCGATCTCTCCAGATCGGTACTGCTGGAGCTGGTGCCAATATATCCCGTGTCTTTCAATCTTGTAATCAATGACGAGGTTCTGGACATGCTTCAGCTCGTTAGTGTACTCATCGATGTTGACCAAACTTTCAAATGGTTTCTGTGTGGCTATCAGGATTGTATTCCTTTGAGACACAGCAGCGATTAGGTAATTCCTGAATTTCGCCAATTCATATTTTACAACACCTTGTTTGTCAATCAATCGTATTTTATAATAAGAATCGGAGATCAGGTGATCGTTACAGTTAGTGATCTGCCCAGGTTGATACCCATCACATGGTATCTCACTGATTGCCTTTCCACCTGCTGGTGAGAATACCTGGATCTTTCGAATTTCCCAGTAGCTAACATAGATCTGATCATCACCGTCTACAGTTAGGCTAGCACTTTCACATTCATCGCGACTCAGAGTCTCAAACATTACATTCAATTTTGTGTACTCTAGTGTGTACAGTGTGATATTGTTAGAGACATCAAGTATAACATACCGATCATCAGAGAGGAACCCTACTCCACGAATCTTCACTTCTTGGAGAAACGTCTGCTGGAGCTGGCCATCAGCAGAGAAGATCTCCACGCCCCCTGTCGTACATCCCACTGCCATCTTACCGTCTGGTGTACCAACCAAGTCACTCATGCTTTTTTTAGTAGGCAAATTAGTGATGTTCTTTGTAACTGCATTTACGATATTACCGAGAGCTATCTCATCCATTCCAACGTTCCCCTTAAAACTGACACTTTTTCCTTTCTTGCTCGATTGCATCGGCTGCTTGTAGTCAGGATCTTCTTGTTTCAAGGCCTCATGTAAGTCTTGACATAGAGTGTCGTGTGCAGCCAAAGCATCCATATCTGACGGTACTTTTGTCCTATTGGTTACCACGTCAGCTATGATGGTCAAGTGAGTGATTTGCTCCAGAGCTGATTTCTTCATTTCGTCCAATTCTTTCTCCACTCCTTCAGTCCTACCCTTGACTTCACCAACGAGGTTTTCTTTCTGCTCTGTCAGCTGTCGGACTGATTCTTCATATGCTTTGTGGATATCATCTGTACACTGCTTTTGAACATTGCTCACATGCTCCTTCTGTTCATCAATGAAATCAACGTATTTCTGAAAGCAAGAACGTTTCTTGTCCGCCTTGGATTTGAGGTCCTCGATACTCTTCATATGGTTGCTTTCATAAACAGTCGCCTCGATGACCCGATGTCCTTCGTTTGTATGCTCCATGACAACACACCTGAAGCAGGCAAATCTCCTGCAGTCGGAACAGAAGCACTCCTCATCCTCTTTGGGGTGTTTCCTGCATTTACGATACCTACGTACTAACACCTTCCCTGATACGATCTCACTCATGGCTAAGACCTCATGACTAATGAAGTTTTGCCACTGAGAGTGTTTGTTGTGGCAAGTAATACAGAGATACATGCCACAGTCTTGACAGTAGACAACAGCTTGGGGTTTGTCCTCGGATTTACAATTCGTGCAAAACTGATATTGATTCTTAACGTCCTCTATGAGAGACTTCAAAGCTAGACTTGCCGGTAATTTGCTGACTTCTCGGTTTGGGACCTGTGTTTCAGCTCTGCAGACAGGGCATCGGAGCATCTGGTCGTTACCATGGCATTCCAAGAGGTTGTCCAGACAGGCCTTGCAGTAGGTGTGAGAACAAGACAGGATCTTTGGATCGGTGAAGGTATCCAGACATACAGGACACTCCAGACTCTGAGCAATAACATTCTTAAATGCATCAGCCATGATTCGAATTCTACAGGAATACGAGAGGAAAGAAAAGGAAACAACATAATGATAGCTAGTGGAGCTTTGATTCATCTGATCATGTATCGCAATTAGTCATGCTAGTATACATTGTTTAAATATCTGACGTATACAAGTTATAACTGCATCACTGAGTTAAAGCCCATGGTTAAAGGTAAACCATGAAAAAGGAAAACAAAATGTAAACATAAGTCTCAGAAATGTTGTTTACCATTCACATTTTAGTATTTTGTCATTGGAAAAACAATCATTACAATATTTCTTCATTAATCTGAAACCAAGTGTCATACCATGAGTCACAAAACTCACAATAGCAACGCATGTGCCGAGCGAAATAAACTTGCTTTTGGGATCTTATACCAAGAGTATCGCACGTGTGCTAATTATCTGTCTCGAGTATTCACCTGTGCCCTTTAGTACATAAGAGTACATAACACCAAGCATTACAAATTTCGTGAAATTTAAACGAAAAAATACATGATCCGTGATCTGCCTTCAGATATGATGCAAATAAACATAGGCCTACCTTATTCTTAACATGGAGTCTAGGCTCTGAACAACTCTAAAACTCAGTAGACAACATTTTGTATTATATTTAAAGCTGATGAAGAATCAAAAGAAGTACGATAAACATGTACTTGCACACTGGAATATATTATTTAAAATAATTATCATGATTGTACAGAGGAAATTAAATTGCTCTGATTTTGCAGAATCATTATATGAAATGAATAATCTATGTTAAGATCGCATAATAGCCTGAAATATTTCCAATGTGTATTCATACATGTATCTACATTATACATAACCGTGCAAGAATAATACTTCGTGACACATTAATTATTCTAATCACAACGAAATCGCCACCCTTTTGCCCCCAGGATAAACAAACACTGAGAAGATATACATATATCATATGAACGATATCAAATGATCACGAGTTTTCTATTGCGTCAAACGTTACTTCCGGGTTCAAGATCAAGGACATTAAACTCTAAAGTCTTGATCTGGTTGCATTTTGCAGCCTATTTCCCCATGGTTTACCAAACTGATATCATTTCCGAAACACCCGTCATTCCCATTTTGGTCTTAACTCAATCGCTCTCCATTAATCACCTCAAAGACATTTAACCCAATGTCTAAGTATTTCAGTCTTAGGTCAAAGATGACTTTATATCCAGATACAAACAAAGTTTCAGAAGGGTCTGGAAGTTGGTCTTAGATATAGTGACATGTATATACGACAATGTAAAACGAAAATATTGCAAAATATCACTGGATTTCTTTTCAAGTTGGAAATAATATACATTTAAATTTACTCACGTCTTTTTCCGTCACTATATGTATCGGTCTATGTGCTATATGAAATCAGTAAACATGTAAACTCTTTGCCTTTGCGATATAGTGGTGCAGTGCAGGTAATGGTACACTGATCATAACTAGTATTTTATACATGTATGTATTTAGTTAATTTGTCGATCTATTTTTGGTACTTGGAATTCCCAGCAACCTTTGACATACAGTTGGAATGTCGGAGATGGCGCTATACAAGTACATGCAAACCATATAAGACTGGAAAGGAGAAAAGTAATGAAAGAAGATATTCGATCTTAGACCTTTATACCTTCACTGGACTCGTCTTGTTGAGAAAACTAAGAAGTTGTTCGATTAAGTTTTGGGTTGAATAGGGGCTACCATGCCCTAATTTCTTAGGCCTACACAAAAATTATGGGGCGGAGGGGCTGCGCCTCCCTCCCATCAAATTATAAAATTGCAAATTATATATTCGGGCACGTACGTGCAACCGCCTCCCGATTCTGACAAGTGCGTAATATTGAAAGAAAGCCTATTATCCTACTTAAATATTTATATGTTATTTTGTCCCAGTGGCGGATCTAGGGGAGGGGGCAAAAAATAATAATAATAATAAGTACCCACTACAACATTAATATTGATAAACGAATACATAATTTGGGTTTTCTGTTGTAAAAATGTGTCTTAAAGTTTTGGGAATTCGGGGCTCCCAATATACTTTGAAGGGGCTCAGACCATGATTTACAAAAATATAGCGACCTGCCAGTGTCACAAATAAGGCATCCAAATATGCTCATCTGACCGTAATTCATGGGCGTAAATCCTTACGTAATACCTATTGTTCAGGGGGGGGTGCATGATCTATTCATTCATCCTCCCCCCCCCCCCCCCCTGAACAATAGTAAGGATTTACGCCCATGCCGTAATTAAATGCCTAAAACCCCTGAGCTTTGCCCCTGGACCCCACGCCAATCTACTCTCCGCTCTACCTGATCGTAAATACTTTAGCCACCCCACTTTGAAAAACGTTCCGTGGGTCGTGTAATTAATATTTCTTTAGTTTATAATGGCTGGTGATTTTGTTCGTCACCCGCTCAATTACTTTTTGTTTTGTTGTTTGTCTCCCAAAAGTACCATAGACGTCAAGCTTCGTTTTCAGTTTTCTTGACGTTGTTTGCCCTATAAATAGATTATTAGAAGAAGCGTGTTGTAAATACTATCACAGATAACTAACCTAGTAAAGAGACAGAATCAAGGTGAGCGAATCTGAATTTAATAAACAAATATTCCCCTCCCAATTTTGAGAAATAGTAGACTCTAGATAACCTGAATTATCATCAGCCCCACATACTAATTTTTGTGTTCGTAATTGTAATTGGTATCTCCAAATAAGCTTGTACTTGTCTTTTTCTTCTTTGCTTCTGTGTACACCAATTCTACAATGCATTAAGTCTAACCGTAAACCTCGTTGTTCTAATCATTACTAGACTATAATGTTAAACTTAAAGATGTCAAATTTATTGGACATCCTGATCTAATAGACCTACCTGCTAAACTGAAAGGTTTTTAGGAGAATTAAGGTTGAGTTCTGGGAAGAGGTGAAAAATAATTTGTGAGCGTTATCATTCTTCTTCTTCTCCTTCTTTCTTTTTGAGTACAGACCTCTTTACAGAGTATTATCATACTATACTGGGGGTGTGTGCAGGTGGACCACTCAACCAGGGTTTCCCCCTACTCTTATACGAATAGTGCAGTGGGTTCTTATCGTGCAAAGGTAGTGACTCTTCTCTACACGGGGCCTCCATTTAACGTCCTACCTGAGGGACGGAGTGTTTTCCACTTAACATATCCTGCGTCTTATTATGCAAGTGTTGAAGAACATCAGATAAGACATGTTCCTTAAAAAGCATGGCTCTTCAAATGCCTTCATATTCTCAATATGTCATGTAACATCGTAAAAATCCAGGGTAGGATTTTTACGCCTTGGTTCGTGTAGTCTCATATACATCTTTCTGTGTACAGTGTTCGTAACTTTACCAAGACTTGGCCAAATTTCTTATCATTTTGATGATTCCAGAACCTTGCAATACACACAAATTCTTATATACTGATGATCAACCTTTTCTGGTCGATTCCACACCGTTTCCTTCACAATGCAGTCGCATGACCAGAACTTCTGACTTTTGAGTTCTGGCAACAAATGGGTTTTAATTTCTTTAATCTTTATCAAGGCAGATCATTATTTTCTTGTCTCATCATTTTTTTTGATACAGGAACATCATTACGTGAGGATGGATTCGGAGGTGATGCGAGAAGGTCGTTTGCTGGACATCATCGATGACCAATGGAGGATGGACAAGCTTCCTAACGATGACATCGAGATACCTCCAAACCAGCTTCCAAATGATATGGATGGAGGGAAGGAAGAAGGAGGGAAGAAAGCAGAAGAGCGATGGACGGATCTTGCACTTCATAACCTCACAGCTTCACAAACTTCAAACCAGGGTAGCTGAGCATTTGTACATTCTCATGACGTGAAAGACAGTGAATGGGACTAAGATATGATTGAAGCCTAACAGACCATGAGCTGAAGGACTGATGTGACACTCATCACGCCAGAAACAGCGTGTGGGACTGAAAAATGTATTAGTAGGTTCTCTTTTAATCGCATAACAGACAAAGTTAGCTCAGCAGTTGAACTGAGACAAGGTCCTTGATATAAAAGACAGTGAATAGGATCAAGAAATTAATAGAGGAGTGTTGGATAGATCTTGCTCTTCAAACCTAGATACACGATACACGATGCAAGATACACGTAGCTGAAAGAATTGTAGTCCGATTTTACACTCATGACATGAAATGCAGTGCATGGGACTGGTAGATAATGGTGGGAGCAATAGAGAGATCATGTTCATTGTAACCAGCATGTAACTGTAACCAGACGGTGTTTGATCTTAATAACATGAAAGACATAGTGTGGGACTTATGCAGGCGTCCATTTGAAGCCTAGACCCACACTCCTCAAGTCATCACCTTTCTTCACCTGTTCCAACGTGCAGATTTACTAAATTATAAATGTTTAAAAAATGTATGACTCAGGAGGGTCTTTTTCTTTTAGATGATCTGTAATACTATGCTCACCGTAATATATAAGGACTATTGCCCCAAGGGAGAAGGCACTTGGGGGTAAAACAGAAATTAATTATGATTTTGTACATAACAAACGTGAGAGTTGTCTATGACTATGTCACAATCCACTAACCAAATTGCTACTTTGAGATCCCCATAGCTATAGTGATCTCATTTTTCAAGCATTTACAACTTTCTTATAATTGGTCCAATTAATTCAAATGTTCACCGTTCTGTTATCTTATTTCTGTTTTCATACGATTGAATTTATTAAAAAGGAAGGATTGCCCTTTAATATGAAGTAGATCATTACTGTACTCAAAAGAGGTCATTGACATCGGTAATATGTTGGATAATTAATATACCTTTGTATTTCAGAAATAATACAACAAGTGGTTTCGACAGGCATGTAGTGTAGACGTTATCATTCATAGAAAAGAAAAATAAATAAATAAATAAATAATGATATCTGAACAGAGGAAGTAAATACTTATGGATTGTTGATAAATGTATGAATGTGTGCAAGACAGCAAGAGAGAGGAAGCATTAGCCTGATACCTCAGTCACATCGAATCCAAACCGACCAATACTCCTCCATTCAGGGTACATTAATTGTTCTGCTCTGGCAGTGTGCTGGTGTGACAGGGGTATTAGTGAGGAAAGAAGCTATAGAGGGGAAGGAAGGAGATGGAGAGCGAAATGAGAGAGGGTTAGTGGAGACAGATAGAGGGTGGGGCGAGAGAAAAGAGACGGGGAGAGAGGGAGATGAAGAGAGAAAGACATATCCTCATCTACCAACAGACCAAATGTAAAGACATGTCAAATTTATAAATGTTGTAACGATGCATTTGTAGTACTTCAGTGAAAACAAGTCTGAAAAGTAAATCTGACCAGGTTTTATGTGTTCTTTTTTTAGGTTTCCAAAATTCTCTCCAAAAAAAAGAGGAAGAAAATACAGGTCAGAAGCAAATGTTTTTCCTTTTCTTAATTTCACCTCCTATATCCACCACAACGCCGGTGTAACAATGATTTAAGAAAGTTTGTCACTTTTGCTCATGAAGCCGTGCTATATTTCACCTCAACCACTTTATAATTATCTGTGTAGGCTATCTAGATATCCCCGCCCCCTGTTTTTTACTTTCCCTTTTTCTTTGTACCTCTCTCTCTCTCTCTCTCATTTTTTCCCTTGTTCTTTTAACCTTGTTTTTCTCTCTCGTTTTCTCTCTCTCTCTCTCTATCTCTCTTTCCCTCTGATGCTGTCTCTTGTAGCGTCCCGATAGTGATGCATGCAGATACTTCTTACAACAATACTCAGAACACACATTTAATTATTTCATAATTCTACATATATATCCATTTATTTCAAGTTATCCAACTATTCTTTGATCCAGATAAAACCACTGTTGACATGATGTGACGTCACATTTAATACTGCGCAGTAATTGGTCAAATCAGCTTCTAGTCTTCTCTCGGGTCGTATTTGCGCATCCCTAAACAGTCGATGGTCGGGTTTGTTGGCAGTGAGATTCAGCGGGTTAGTCTAGATTCCATTACCGGTTCCTTGGCCTAAAGAAAAACAGACAACAATATGACATGTAAGATGCGATGAACAAGATATGACCAGTTAAACTCCTTAACAACAATAACCATGAGAGAACAGGAAGGAACGGAGGAACAAAGGAAGGACTGATGAGGGAAAGAAAAAGAGAGGGAGGGAGAATCAAACAAACAAACAAATAAAATAAAATTCACCTTATAGGTAATTGTGTAAAGCATGTGCAGATGAGAGACCATTGCTGCAGTCAGCTTTAATGTGACCCCCTCTTGACATGGACATGCAATTCAAGGATTTTAGCTGTATTTCTTTGGGATCAATCCATTATAAACATCCGATTACTCCAACTATCAATTATGACAAAAATATGGTAGATGGCAAGTTCAAATCCCACTGGTTCCGAACCTTTATCTGATGAGCACCACTCGATCTGTGTTTACTGGATGCGAGCCGAAATTTATTCATCAATTGAAATTACTCCCAAGAAGTCTAACATTAAAAAATAGCGGAGCATGTGTTGTACAACCATCATAACAATGTTGCCCCCCCCCCCCCCCCCTCTCCATGTTATCAATGCCCCTACGCCACCGGGAGCAAATTGTTTTGGTTCAGAGTTTTGACAATGGTTAAAATATATGTGTACGTAAATTTGATCCATTAAATCTGAGAGTGACTTACCGGAGCAGAAAGCGACAGCGCCTCCTCGTCTATTGCACCAACAGTTCAAAAGATTTTCACAAGCTAAAAAAATGATAGCAGAAATGAAAATTAATAACCATGAATTATAGATTGAGAATGAACGCACGAATAAAGAATGGATAGAAAGGAGGCATTGAGGGCGTGACTAGGGGCGATTAATATCCCATATTATCAGCAAAATTGTCAGTTTATTCGTTGTTTTGCAAAAGAGATTTTGAACACGTATAGGCTAACCGTTTCTCAAAATTGAGAGAAAGTTTCTTTTATTTTTTATATTTTCTAAATTAGTTTTTGTTTTGTCCCAGGGTGTTTGCCTCGTTGTTTTTTGTACTTTCTTCCTTTCTTTTTCTTTACAAACGTTTTAAGACATGTGCCCCTTGATAATGTCCTATCCCATTTTTCTTTTCTTTTTTAGTTCAGAGATTATCAGAGATGCATTTATCTAAATTATCTTTAGATATTATAATAAATAATGATAATAAATTACATTTATAAAGCGCTTAATATAATGTTTATAAGAGCACATAACGTTACTACACAAACTCTGTATGGAAAGGAATATCAGCCTAATCCTTTGGCTTTATAAACAAAGAAAATGGTAGTTCATGAATTAGGATTCGCTCGCACGATTCGTTACTGAGTTGGTAGTTTCTAGTCGATTGATTCCAGCTTTTTCGTATGGATTTTGCGTAAATCTATCGCCGACCAGTTTCTCTCATAATTGGGTGGTCCAGGCGCGGATCCAGGGGGGGGGGGGCCGAGCGGGCCTTGGCCCCCCCCCCCCCCCCGCAAAAAAAAAAAAAAAAAAAAGAGAGAAGAAAGGAAAAGAAGGGAAAAAGGGGGAAGAAGGAGATCGGGAAGGGCGAAAGGGCCTTGCCTCCCAGGCTGTTGACCCCCCCCCCCCCCCCCCCCCCATCAAAAAAATAAGAGAGAAGGAAGGAAAGGGAAAGAAAAAAGGGAAAGAGGAGATACTGGCGTACTGATAGGGGGGGGGGGCTTGGGGGAAATCAAATTTAAACGTGGTTTATTTCTAATTCCACAACGGTGGATTACAAATAATGCTGAAATGACATAATTTCCGAGATTTTTCCTCACTTTTTAGTAGATTCCTACATGTCAGGGCCCGAGGTACGGCGGTGATCGGGAGCCCCGAGCCCCCCCCCCTACTTTTTTGAAAAAGTATATTAAAGAGAAATAAAATAGAATGAGAGCAATGAAAGCTTCCGGGGGCTCTGCCCCCTGGATTTCACCTAGGGCCCTACGGCGGGCCCTTAGATGCTCATCTGACGGTAATTTAATGCCTAAAAACCCCTGGACCCCACGACAAATAGTGACGTGCCAGTCTCACAAAATAATAAGGTATACAAAAAAATGCTCATCTGACCTTAATTAAACGCCTAAAACCCCTGAGCTTCCGGGGCCGGCTCCGCCGCCTCGACCCCCCCCCCCCCCCAGGGGCCCTAAGACGGCCCCTGATTCAGACAAGGATTAAGAGTATAGAGAATGATACAACGCATCGTCTTCTTTCTCTAATAATATAATGAAACGTCAAAGCTTCGCGCAGGAGGGGAGGGGGGGGACTGAATTCAGACAAGGATTAAGAATCGAGAACGGTACAACGAATCGTCTTCTTTCTCTCATAATCTTATGAAACGTCAAAGCTTCTGCGCTTCGCGCGGGAGGGGGAACCTGAATTCAGATGAGGATTCAGAGGCGAGAACGGTAATACGAATCTTTAATGATTTAATGAAACGTAAAAGCTTCCGCGCTTCGCGCGGGATGGAGGGGGAACTAAATTCCGATGAGGATTATTTTCGAGAACGGTACAACGAATCGTCTATTTTCTCTAATGATTTAATGAAACGTAAAAGCGTCCGCGCTTCGCGCGGGAGGAGGGGGTTGGGGGAGAATCTAAATTCAGACGAGGATTATTTTCGAAAACGGTACAACGAATCGTCTTCTTTTTCTAATGATTTAAGGAAATTTAAAAGCTTCCGAGGATTAAGAGTCGAGAACTGTACAGCCAATCGTCTTCTTTCTCTCATAATCTTGTGAAACTTAAAAGCTTCCGCGCTCCGAACCTATTTTTAGACGAGGATAAAGAGTCGAGAACTCGACAACGAATCGTCTTCTTTCTCTAATAATTTAATAAATCGTAAAATTTTGGGGAAAACTAAATTCAGACGAGAATTATTTTCGAAAACGGTACAACGAATCGTCTTTTTTCTCTAATAATTTAATGAAACGTCAAAGCTTCCGCGTTTTGCGGAGGAGGGAGGGGGATAATCGCCCCTCCCTGCACCGACCCCCCCCCCCCCCCGCATTACGTCACTGTTGGTCACCATTACGTACCAATATTTGGCTCGCAAAATTTCAAATTTGGCCCCCCCCCCCCCCCCCCCCTAAGAAATCCTGGATCCGCGCCTGGGGTGGTCTTCGATCATTGGATTCGACCTTGCTAATAAAAGGGACTTGGTAACATAGTTCAGATGAGAGAAAATGGTGCGTGGTAGCATAGACGTAATTACGTCTATGGTGGTAGTGACTTCAATGCTAGGTGTACAATTAAAGATAATCTGAAAGTGAAAACGGACCACCATGAACGATAACAATTATTGGGGAAAACTGATCTGATCTGATCGATTCCTTAATTCTCCCAAATATGTTATCAAAATTTGATAACATTTTAGGCGACATTAAAGTGTTGAAAGATTTTCGAAGCCTGTCTTATGTCTTATGTCTTATTTTTAAGGAAAAACGGTTAGGAAAATTCAAAAAATGGTTGGGAGAATTTACTGTTAATCACTGTAAGAGAGTGTTGCACATTGATGCCTTCAAAGAAAACCATACAAATATCCTTTAGTTTGAGAATTTCTCAGGATTTTTTGCCTGAGTTATAGAGGGTAAGTACAGAAGAAGGAATATAATAAGTAACATTTCATACACAAATTACGCAGCTTTTTTTAATGAATAACTCACGTTTGTATTTCTTCATGGACTTTCCTCTCTTGACAGCTAGCTGGTAGTCTTGCATGACGGTGTCCCTCTTCAGCCCATCCACAAACTCTCCCTGGATAATCAAGGGAGATTTTACCTCAGTCTCCCTGGTTTTTCCTTCTCCAGTGCGTCTATTGGTCATTAGTTGCTGGAATTTCCCAGGATAATCAAGGGAGGCTGGCAATCGTATTCTTCGAATACACAAGGCTGCTCCCACGATATACCATTGAAGAGATGGTTCTGCGAACTGCTTTCAATTAAAGGACGCAAGAAGATGCGAGCGAAATGTGGATTATTTTGATCTTTTTAAAATAGTATTTTACATCTGGCAGGGAGCTTGATTGAAAATCAATCTGTTTGTAGTAATTTTGTTTAAACCTGCTCGAGTGCATTTTCCCCAATTTTGTATAGGCCTATTTTGATTTAATGCAGATATACTGTAGCTTAATTCAATAAATGTATTAAAACTTATGGATGCATATCATCTGCAATACCGTCGATGCTATATGGATCAGGGGCGGCTCCAGCCGGCGGCGAGGGGCCCAATTTGTGAGAAAATATTTGGCGGCGAATAAGAAGGGGGGGGGGGGGGGGGGGGGGGGGGGGGGGGGGGGGGGGGGGGGGGGGGGGGGGGGGGGGGGGGGGGGGGGGGGGGGGGGGGGGGGGGGGGTAATGAGCTATAACTTTTTTTTTTACTGAACACCCCCCCCCCCCTTCTTTTTTTTTTGCCAGGGGTGGGGGCCTGTGCCCCCAAGCCCCCACCACGAATCCGCCACTGCTATGGTTACAGATCGGTGTAGGGAATGGCTCGTTAGGGTTGCTGTTTCATAAAAGTTACCCATTGATAGTTGGTACTATCAGTTAATTCTTTCTTTCAGCATATCTATACGATATCGGTTATGATGATAGATGAATGCCATTTTATATTGCAACATATAACAGGTTGTATGTACACCAAATAAAGAAATAATTTGTGCTGTACCCGTGAATCCTAAATATAAAAAGAATGATTTACACCATAACTTTAACCAGCACGTACAGTCGTAAAGTAAAGATGACTATGGTTTATTTATTCTTAGTGAGTCATATTGTGTGTTTATGAATAAATTTATTACATTCAAGCATTTAAACTTTTGACATTTTCAAAAATGATTAATACAAAACCAGCGTGTATGGGAGCGTCCTTTAAATTTCTTCATGAATAGTCTGCTATAACAGACTCTAAAAAAAAAATATATAAAAAACCTGTTTTAGAATAACAGCCCTGGGGTGCACTGTCTAAGGTAGTTGTCATCAAAATGTATTACGTGCATACATTCTAAATCTTCCAAGAGCCCGCCATCCCCCCCCCCCCCTCCTACAAAAAAAATCACATGGAAACATGGACATGATAGAACGTCCCTGATTGCAGCATGGTTCTAAAAAAGAAGACTAATAGTAGATAGTCTGTGATATATGCCTCACTATTAATCGTATTGGTACATAGATTCAGTTTTCTACGACAGAACTTTAGGCATGTAGCCGTTGCAACTCCAGAAGAAGATATGAAAAGATAAAACAACAACAGCGCCGTAATATATATATACCAAAGCATCAATGACAGTAAAAAAGGAAAAAAAGGGTTTGGGTCCCCCCCCCCCCTTTCCCCCTTTTGCTCTGCTCATAGGGTTGTCAATATATAAGGAATGTGTAACAAATAGCTGTTTAATTTCCAGTACTTCTATACAAACAGACCCACCCCCCCCCCCACCCCCTCCCCATGCGACACGATCACGAGGAAAGCGTATAGATGATAGAACGGCTCTTGTGAACAAAGTGTACTCAAAGAAAAGACTAGCTGAAAATAGTCTTGTAACTTAGGCATCTTAAGCCTTCCGAAACGCTTTGTTAAGTTTCTGGCAGGAATTCACTTTCTTGCCCTGGCACTACCTGTCCAGGATATGTATAAACTGAATCAACCCAAGAACATGTGTATGTACTAAACGTAGCATTTGAAATATAAAGAAAATAGGGATATGGTCCCCCCCCCCCCCCG